AAAAAAAAAAAAAAAAATGCTCACCACTTCCATTTTCTCGTGCAAGTCGCGAGCACGCCTCTCGGTCTCGCGACGCCGTGCTCTGGCGGCGATGCTGAGGACAGCGGTGGTGATTTTCTCCCTTTCCTCGCGTTTCTTCTCTTCGAGGGGCGCCGGATACGCGTACACGCTCGGCCTGGCGTTCGAGCGTATCTCCAGCTTCGGCATTTTCAGCTGGGCGTTCAGAGCGATTAGGCAAGTCGGCGTGAACGCCAGTGCCAAGCAGTGGGCCAACGGGAACCAGTACCAATACTGGGTGAACACCAACGCGCCGACCACCGCCAGCATGTTCGTGTGACCGGTCCTTGATTGCAACGACACCGTCACGTTACGGCCACCTGCAACGAATTGAATATGCAAATGCTCCTCGTATTTTCCCGGAGAATCAACGGAATCGAATTTAAACAGAGATTTGCCTCGCTATCGCGGCAACTGTTATCGTTCAACACCCTACGAGGTGCATTGGTCTTTTGTTTTTTTTTTTTTTCTGGGTTAAACTATGCGACGGATATTGGATTGTTGAACTTTAATTCACTGCAGGAGATGAGGAAGTGAGGAGGTGTCATTAAATTGTGGGTGTTTTCTTTGTGCAGCATCTTTGGAATTATTATTTATTATCTTGTTATTATTATTATTATATCATTCGGAATTATTAATCACTATTATTTACTATTAATTTAAAAACAGTTAAAATGTTACATAAAATTGTGCTACGTAAAATTATGTATTATATATTATATTATTCAATAAATATATTTATAATTATATATTATTATATCATTATATTATATAGTTATATTTTATATAATATAATGTATAAAATATAATATATAATCATATAATGCAATATATAAAATATAATTATAACATATATTATATATTATATAATTATATATTATTATATCATACGGAATTATTACTCACTATTATTTACTATTAATTTAACAACAGTTAAAATGTGTTACGTAAAATTATATATTATATACTATATTATTCAATAAATATATTTATAATTATATATTAGTATATCATTATATTATATAATTATATTTTATATAATATATAATGTATAAAATATATATAATATATATATATATATTAAATATAAAAAGAAATATATAATATATAAAGTATAATGTATAAAATATAATTATAGCATATATTATAAATTATATATTATTATATCATACGGAATTATTACTCACTATTATTTACTATTAATTTGAAAACAGAAAGTTCTCCAACATTCTTTAAAATAAATAAATCTACGTTTAAAATAAATAAATAAAGTCTAGAATTATTTGGAAATGAATAAACTGAGAGAAGTTTTAAAATAAAGACAGAGAATGAAATTTCGAGCACGTTGTATAAAAGAAATTCGAACGTTCGTTATGTGAAACAGTCTCGTCGCATCACAAAGAGAAACCGAACACATTTCGCGGAGCCAATCTGAACCAATCGGACCGAGAAATAACCAGCACCGTGACGAAACAAATTCGTAATCTCTGCATCGAACACTTTCCAACCATCAGAAAGTGATCAGCTTCCGACCTATCTTTCAAACAACGCCCCAACGATAAACTGGAAGCTTGGATTTCACCATTTCCTGTCGACAAGAGGGCAAGAAGCCTCGAAAGAATCTCCGATCTCTGTATTATATTCTCGCTCTATGGACAGGCTCTTATCGACTCTTATTGTTCAATCTGACCTGCACAAAGTGCAACGATTCTACTTGCAACTAACGGGTTAATTTTTGTTAAGATCGAAAATGAAACGTTAACAATCGAAAGTTTGCCGAAGTTTGGTCGTGCAACATAGTTTTCCAAATTACTTAAGAATGTGTGCGATATTGTAAGAATGAAATGAATATACGAACTAGAAACTTGGGAATATTAACTACCTTGGAATAACGTGCCACGTGGATCGAGAATTGCAATATTTTCTCAGTTTTAAGTATTTAGTATATAATATACTTATATAATATATTTATACTTATATATTTAATATTTAATATATTTATAACTTTATATAACTTTATATATACTTAAGTATATTTAATATATTTATATAACATACTAAAGTGTATTTAATATATTTATATAATATACTAAAGTGTATTTAATATATTTATATAATATACTAAAGTATATTTAATATATTTATATAATACATAATATATTTAAGTATAACTTATATAATTAATATTTAATATATTTATAACTTTACATAATATACTTAAGTATATTATATTTAATATATTTATATAATACATAATATAGTTACGTAAAATATATAATATTAAATATATAATAATATATAATAATTAAGTATAACCCAGTTTAAATATATAATACAATTAAATATAACCCAGGCCAAACAAATGATAAATTTATCACTTCTCAATAATTTCTATCCAGCGATATACCGACGAGCTCAAAACTAACAAAGCGACCGAATTATTCCGCACGGTCTGGCCACTCGTTATGGTCCGCAATCGGTTAACAGCGTAGCGACAACGTGCCAGATTGTAACATTAAAACGAATAAAATATACGAATACGAACAACTATAGTAACTCGCAATGTCTAATCCTTTAACGATCGGTGTCGCGTTTATTTAATTTAAAAAGAAAAAAAACACATCATTTCATCGATTTCAAACACCGCGAAAAAAAAAAAAAAAAAAAGAAAACAAATTCCACTGAAACTTGGTAGTTTCCTGGAAACGTGCAGCAGAAACTCACCTGCGTCGATGATCCCCTGCGCCAAGATGGCGCCGAACTTGGCCATCACGTCCTCGTGCTTGTCCACGATCACCTTCGCGTACAGAGCACGGAAATCCTTGACCCGCGAGCAGGTCGCCTCGGTCTGCTGGATCAGTATCATCGCCGAGGCGATCAGGGCGCCCTGGCGGACAAAGTTCACCGAATCGTTCGTCATTGGATCGAGCAGTGCTATGGCTTCCTTGAGGCCGGTGCCGGCACACGCGATTCCCAGTGCCATCGCCGCACCGTATCTTACATGGGGGTTGTAGCTCTCCGCCAGCAACGAGACCACGCTGGGACATTGCTCCGGTGTTCTGCGAAAACAAACGAGACGAAGTTTCCTGTCAGTTGGCTGGCACGTGTCTGAGGGATGACGCATGAGATCGACTCGCACGATGCGGCGTTGCATTCGCGAGACGCATCGATCACGGGGAGGAGAGTTCTCGAGAATGTTCAGTTAAAGTCAGACATCCGCCAGTTTGAAACACGCGAGAGTTGTTCGACAAATGGAGTGATACAGATATATCTGCGTAAACTACTTCATGTATCGTCGCGTTATATTTGTTGTGTTTGATAAATAATTGGGATTAGGATGTATTGTGTCAACGTTATTTATTTTGATGACGATTGTATTATATTATTATTATACTAGAATATACTATATATAATAATATATTGGAATATATATTATATAATATAATAATATATATTGGAATATATTATGCATATATTTGTTGTGTTTGATAAATAATTGGGATTAGGATGTATTGTGTCAACGTTATTTATTTTAATGACGATTGTATTATATTATTATTATATTAGAATATACTATATATAATAATATATATATTGG